TCCTGCCAGCTGGTGTCCAAGTGGTCCAAGTACCACTTATCCTAGTTGCTCACAATGCACCTTAATCCAGATGCCACAACTTGCGCAGCAACTACACCACCGAGCCTGATTAAAACAAAGCACAACTAGAAATCTCAAGAGAGGCATTGTGTGAGAAATGTATGGGTACTACATTTCTACACCATCTAACAATTGAATCATGTGATACAAAGTCTAGATGGTAGTCTAGAGTTAAAATACCAGTTGCGCACCACAATTTTCCGACTCAATTTACTGCCAAAAGTTGTTGAATGTCTCCTCACTGTTACATTTTGTAAGTGATTGATAGAATTTAAAATTGAAAAGTAATTTATTTGTGGACATAAAAAGGTTTGAATTAGCAAACAATGTAATTGACTAAATAGTACAAGATGCATACCAGTTAATAATTTCATATCCATGGGATAGAGCTATATTCTGAGCTCTCAAGACAAAGTACTGATAATCTTGGGATTCATTCATGTGATTGCTTCTTTAACCTGGAATCAAAGTAATCAAGTAAGAAGCTCTCTTGATGGGCAACGAGTGAAAACGAACATGGAAGATCATCGAGTTGAAGTCAAATTAAAAGCAATGCCATATGTACTAATGTTAAGTGCAAAGGGATGCTGACTATGGTAGAGAAAATAGAAGTATATAACATTTAGGATTATATTACATATTAGCTTTGCATAGGTCATGGAAACAATAACATTCTTAATGACTGGCAAAGGTGGATAGCGACTGATGTATCTGTAGGATTTTAATTTCAGTCAAAGAACACATAAAGGAAAATGACCTTTATTAAGTCAAACTATTAGATTACTAGCTCAGGGTGCAGCCAATTCAAAAAACAATATCACTAGGAAACTGGTCCGCTCATCCTTTAATCAAATTTATGTGGATCAACAGTTTAATTACCATCAATAAAACCATCCACGGTGCTGGGTGCTGAAGATGTAGAATGTTAAAATTGGTACCAAAAGAAGAAGCAATTCTAGTTTTAAAGGCTAACTACTAGAGGAAAGACACTCACTTAAGTCTTAACTCCTCAATTGTTTCCTTGTGACTCATGTAGAAGTACAATTATAATAGTTTCTAGAAGAACTCACTGGTTGTGCATTAACCATCATATTTTCCAAGGAAATCCATGTGAACATAAAAAGCAGCTCACCAATTAAGAGGCCTTGGTAAGAGAACCTTGGCTGACCGGGTGATAGATGAACTTCAATCACTACTTTTAAAGTTAAAATGGCATGGTTGGTTGAATCTCTGCAATAATCAATAATAAAATGCGGGATAAAAAGATACATACCAATAAGAGTGAGAAGATCAAGCAAAGGTATAGCATGCCTTTAATTAAAGGAGTGCTCAAGCTGTCAAACTCAAATGAAACAAATGAAGGTAAGTTATTTCTTTTTTTTTTTGGATAAGCTTGTTTGTTTCTACATTTTTTGTTCTGATTATTACTATTGGTAATACTATTTTTACTAATTTTTTACAGGAAAAATAGACGATGGGCCGGAAAAAGATAGAGCCAACAAAGAAAAAAAAAAAAGATAAAGACAATCTTGGCTTGAAATATCCAAGAATGGTACTTGATAGGATGGTTGGAAAACTGAGGAAAGATGGATCTATAAACTACCTAAAAATATTAAGGACAAACACATATTTTTGAATTACATGTATTTCAATTATCGATATTTAAAATATACAAATTAAATTCTAATTCGTGTTGCCAAATACAAACTAAAAGAATTGCTACCGATTTTGTTTACTTTCTATAGTTTTGAGCTGTTTGGATTGCTTGAGTTTGGTCCCTAGGTGTTACTCCCTCGCATAGTACAAGGTTGTTATAACCTTCTAACAATAAAATTATTTTTAGTCGATCTTGAATTAAGGATTGGTGTTTATCACTTGTTAGTTTTAACATTGCAATTGAAAAGTAGTAGTCTTACCGTTAGTTTTAATGCAACATCCATAATTTTAGAATTCTTACTGATTTTTCTTTGAAACAATGCTTGATTGATTTATTGCGTATTGGCTTCTGAGTTCTGAAACAGTGTCTAATTTTCTGCGTGCTGTAAATGCAATGCCTAATAAATGTTTGTTTAAATGCCTAAGTGAGTTTCCCTTCTATTTTGATGTCCCTTCTTCATGGTAGTTTTGATTTTCTTTTCCAAACTTAAGGGCAGATTCCATGTCTAAACAGTATTTGTTGGGTTTAATATGATGGATTAATGCCAACTATCGTCCCTCTATTGTTGAAAAAGGTTCAATTTAAATCTTATACCATCCATTCACCTGATGTCCTCCCTCTACTTTTATTTAACTTCACAAGTCCTCCCTCTACTATTCAAAAACATATTAATGTCGTCCTTCCATCCATTTTGGGTTAAAACCTAGTTTTAACATTTTATTTTAGTAGATTTATAGGTTTTAACCCATCACCTTATACTATGACACTTTTAGCCCTTTACCTATTAAAATCGAAAAAAATAACCCTTACTTTATAATATTTCGTTAGTTCTATTAATTGATTGTTAACTTTGTTAGCTGACTATTAATTTTATTAGTTAAAAGTAGGTTTTTGACAGCTAGCAATCAATTAGCAGTTAACTAATAGAGTTAACAGTTAGCTAGCAAAATAGTTCTGTTAACTGATTGTTACTCTATTAATTGAAAGTAGATTTTTGCCAGATAACAACCCACTAATAGTCCGCTAATAGAGTTAACAATCAATTAATAGAACTAACAAAACATTATAAGTGAGGGCTATGTTTTTTAATTTTAATAGGTGAGGAATTAAAAGTGTCATAATATAATATAAGAGAATAAAACCTACAAATTCATTAAAATAAAAAGTTAAAACTAAGTTTTTGCCTCCATTTTAGGGTAACTGACTATTAGTCCACCGTTAAATTATAGGCGGAGGGACATTTGGGACCATTTCAATTCTTTCCTTTTTTTCAAAGGTGGCCCCACCTAGGGCTGGGCGCGCACGCAGGCAACCCATCGGTTGCCCGACAACAGCACCAAAGTTGGGCTTGCGATGCAGGCACGAACGGCCTTCGGGCCCAAATAGCGGTTTCGGGCCTTAACCATTTCTAAGCGGTGCGGTGTTCAGTTGTAGACCCAAAAACCGAACAACCAAATATTACAACTGAAAACCCGCATTATTTTTTAAGCAAATATAAAACATATTACCTCTGCGTTCAGCACAAACCCTAATTTGAGAAATTTCGTTCATTCCCTCCTAGCCTCTCCTGAAAATTTTCATCTACCCGCCTCCTCCACCCTTTGATTCTCCGCCAAAACCTTTTCCTCCACCCCATTTAGAAAGTTTCAAATGGACTCATCATTAATCTCTAGTATTTTCTTCTCATTTGACTTTCACTTTCATTTTTCTCACTTCCTCTCCTCATTCACTCCCTTTTACAGTCGACCAAGATCTCATCCTCTCTTTACTGTGAACTCTCTTCATCATCCATCTCTAACACCAATCTATTTTAGATTCAGCCATATCTCTGCCGTGCATCACTAAAAATCTAAATCAAAGCCCAGATCTCCTGTTTCTTTCTCTCTATATATGGGTTTCGACTCCTCTCCATGCTGCTCTTGATTAATTTGGAATCTGGTAATGTGTTATGGATCCTTTCTCTCTTTCTTTTTTTTTTTTTTCCTTTTCGACTCTTCCTATGGATTTTGATTCTGTCTCTGGTCTTCTATTTCTAAAAGTTCATACACAGACACACCATCAGACCATCTACTCTCTTCATCACTGTAATCCTTCTTTCGTCGGCAAGGTATCACTGTAGGTAAAATCCCTAATTCTTTCTCTATTTTTTCTCCTCATACTGTATTTTGAAAGTGAATCAATGCTTTGATTTCTTCATTGAAATTGAACTCAAAAGACAGTGTGCATTTTTCACTCTTATTTCTCTCCCCAAACAGATTCCTTTACCTCTGCTTCAACCATTCATTACCGACAAATCTTCTTCTTCTTCTCCTTAGAACCAGTAAATCTCATCCAAGCTTTCACCTTTCCCCTCATCTCCGATTTCTCCTTCCATTTTCGATTTTTCCTCTCATCTTCAATCTTTGATTCAAGACAAGATCGGAGGAGGCCAGAGGTGAGTGAATGTCAAAAACAGTGAAGATGTGCCCAGATCTACAGATCGGTGATGGTGGTGGTGATGATAGTGCACAGATCTACAGATCGGTGATGGTGGTGGTGACAATAATGCTATCACCATTCCCCTCATCTCCGATTTCTCCTTCCATTTTCGATTTTTCAAAGAAGCGGTTCAAGAGGGCTGTCGACGTGATTTTTGGAGATGGAGTTCGGCATCTGGCTACAACCAACTCGTCCGACGGCGACAAAAATCGAGCTGCTGAACACTCCCAACATTTTCTGTAATAAATGACTTAAAAAAGAGAAGAAAAGAAAAGAAAAGAAAAGAGCTGGGTTTTGCAAGAAAGCACTGAGCTCGGACGTGGGAAGGAAATCGGCGGATGTTAGCAACTTAGCATTTATAAAGAAATGTTAGAAAATTAAGAACATAAATATAAATATAAATAATCAAATCCTCTCTATCTAATATCTACAACGAGTTTTGATTTTTTTGTGTTGATATCGTTCTGTTGGTTTAAATTTATTACAATTAAATTGTGTTTTAGTAGTTTTTGTTACTACTATAGGTTGCAGCAATCCTGAGGTGAATTTGGATGAAATTATTCCTTAAAAAAAAAGAAATTGAATGGAATTAATTTTGACTTGTCTAATTAAATTTATTTGTTGGTTTATTTTTATTTATAATTTGCTTCTGTTTATATTTATTGTAGATTGTAATGCATGTACAAAGGAGATTTACTTGTATTAATTTGTGAAATTTTTTAGATTGAGCTTGAAAGTTGAAGTGTGGCTTCAATTATTAGAAAATTAAGATTCTTTTTAATATATTGTTTATAATGCTTGTAATTATAATTTTTAACTCTTTATATTTAATTGGTTGCAGATTTGGATTATTCTATTCTATGCTATTACGATATTCAAAATTCAAAATATCAAAATGGAGATTGATCACTTGGATGAAATTAATCAAGTTGTAAGTTTTAGTTTATTGAATTTAATTATTTTTTTATCAACTAATGAATTTGGTTAATATTTTTTATTTTTGTTAATTAATTATGTAATTTTTTATTTTTTTGGTACAGGACATGAGTAATGTGGCTAATATTGATGTAACAATAGCAAACAATGCTATTGAGTTGCAAAACAATGATGGTGAGGGTGGGAATTTTGGAAAGAAAAGAAAATGTATACAAAAAAAAGTCAAAGGTATAGCTACACTTCACTGCATTTGATGATCCAGTTACTAGTAAGTAGAAAGCAAGATGTAATTATTGTGGAAAGGTGTTGTGTGCTGAACCTAGGAGAAATGGTACTTCTACCATGAATGATCATATTGAATGTTGCTTGAAAAATCCTAGTAATTTAAAAAATAATACACTGTTGAAGTCTATTAGTAAAGCAGATGGAATTAAGACAGTGATTGATTTAGGAACTTGGAAGTTTGATGAAGGTGCAGTGAAGAGAGCATTGGCTGAAATGTTAATTATTGATGAAGACTCCTTTAGCTTAGTTGAAAAATTAGGCTTTAGGAGGTTTTGTGAAATAACATTGCCACCAACTTTTAAAATTCCATCTAGGAGAACCATTACTAGACAATGTTATGACATCTATGTAGAACATAGAACTGCCTTGAAAAATTATTTTAAAGAATCAAATTTTAGAGTTTCATTAAGCACCGATACTTGGACTAGCTTACAAAGAATCACTTATATGAGCTTGACTGCTCATTTCATTGATGCTAAGTGGAAGTTACATAGGAAAATACTATGTTTATGTCTTGTTGATAGCCATAAAAGAGATGAGTTGGGAGATCTTCTTGTTAGATGTTTGAAGGATTGGGGGTTAGAGAAAATTTATGCATTAACTGCTGATAATGATCAGCAAATGATGGACTTGTTAGGGGGTTAAAAGATGTAGTGAACAAATGGGGAACTGCTATTCTTGGTAGGAAAGACATTCACATGAGATGTGTAGCCCACGTCGTAAACTTAGTTGTTGGTTAGGGTACCAAAGAGAAAGAGATGAATAAATCTATGACTGCAATTAGGGCTACAATTAAGTACATTAGGCAAAGTCTTATGAGGTTAAACAGATTTAAGGAGGCTTGTGAGTGGGCAGAAATTGAATCCAAACAGTTATTGTGTTTGGATATCCCAACAAGGTGGAATTCACTTTATTTAATGTTGGAAACTGTTGAGAGGTTTGAGGAAGCTTTTGAGAGGTTAGTCTTATTTTTATTTTATTTATATTTTTTGTTTTTAATAGTTTTTAGGTAGAAATCTTAACTATTTATCTAATTGTTGCATTTTTTTTTTAAAGATATGCAAGACAAGACCCACACATGAAGAATGAGTTGAATGATGGTCCCAATGCTCCTGGATTTCCTGCTTGCATAGATTGGGAAAATGTAAGGAGATTAATCAAATTTCTACATCATCTCTACGAGTTGACGGGGAAGGTCTTTGGAACCTTGTATACTACCAATAATTTATATTTTCCCAAACTTAGTGAGGTAATATATTTTCTTTTATAAGTTATATTTTATTTCAATTAAATTATAAGTTGGATCTTGCTGAATTATTTTAGTTGTAGGTTGATCATATACTTAAAAAATGGGAACATGATGTGGATCTTTAATTATGATCTTGCTGGTAAAATGAGGAAAAAGTATAAAAAATATTGGGGGGATCCAAGGAGATGAACAAAAACATCTTCTTTGCAGTGGTGTTGGATCCAAGGTATAAGATGGATTATTTGGAGCATTTAATGTTAAAGATGTATGGCCGTAAAGCTGATGGTGAACTTGATGATAATGGGCCTCTTTATGTTGCCATGGTCAAACGTGAGATGGAAATATTGTTTGAAGAATACAAGAGGTTGAATTCCTCTACTGCGAAATCAAGTGACCCTCAATCATTTGATGAACAAGGAAGTAGCTCTACCTCTGCAACCAATATCCAAAGTGTGGCAGATTCGAAAAATAGAGTGCAAACATCCGAAGTGAAATCTGATTACAAGAAATTTAAAGCTGCCAATGGTAGAAGGGCAGAAAAAACAGAGTTGGAGAAGTACTTGGCAGAAGATTCTGAGGATGAGAACGAAGATATTGATGTTCTTCAGTGGTGGAAGATGAATGAGCATAGATTTCCAGTGTTAGCAACCATGGCAAGAGATGTCTTGGCTGTTCCAATATCTACTATTGCTTCTAAATCAGCATTCAGTAGTGGAGGTCAAGTCCTTGATGCTTTTCGATCGTCATTGACACCAAGAATGGCACAAGCTCTCATTTGTGCACAAGATTGGTTGAGAGATAAGGCTGTTTCTGATATGGAGGAGGAGGATTTGGACACACTGGATAGTTTAGAGAAATGTAATATGTTGTATGTTACATGTTTCTTTTAAATTCAATTATTTATTTACTTATGCAATTGAAAAAAATTTAACCATGAATTTTTTTTTTTAATTGTTTGTACAAAGTTTGATCAGATTCATTTGGATTCCACCATTCTTGAATGAATGGTGGATTTATAAATGGTAAGGTACAAGGTAAATTTTTAAACAATTTTAAATTATGTTAACTTAATGTTGAGGTAAGCTTTTTCAGTTATTTCTTTTGTTTATTTATAAGTTCTACTAACTAATTTTTATTTTTGCTAATTGTCGTAGATATAAGTGTACACGCGTTTTTTTGTTAGCTTAAAAGCAAATCATGTTGTGGGTTGTGGCTTGCATTGTGTATAACGCGTTTTTTTGTTATGTGGTATTGGGCCTATTGGCTAGACAAGTTTTTTTTTTGGAAAAATAGGTTTTTTTTTAATAGGCAAGTTTCTTTTGGATAAAGACTTTCTTTTGGACGTCTTTTGGATAGCTTCAAAGTATTGAGAGATGGCAATTGGACAGAACATGCAACTTGTGTTAAGGAAGAATGGTAATTTTCTGAACTTAAGTCACTTGATAGTTGGTATCAATAGTTGACTAGTTTAACTAATATTTATGTTACAACTTAGGTTTGTTACCTTGTTACTATAATTTGTCTTAGTGTTTGAACAGAAAAGTTTGTACTTTAGTAATAGCTTGTGATAATGTGATGTAATGTAGGTACTTGATGAAATACATGATATTTTAATTCCAATTAGTATTCTGTTATTGGTTGCTTTTTTTCAATTGATTTTACTTATTTAATGTAGTTGCTATGTTATGTAGTTTAAAGATCTTTTATTAACTTGACAAAGACCACAAGCTACTTATATCAAGTTGCAAATGCTTGCCAAGTATTAAAAGATCCTTGAGAGTACCAAATTAAGCCCATGAGTTGTTAATTTGATGGATAGACCTAGACTTAATGTGTGTGAATTGTCAATGAGCACTTGCTCAATTCATTTGTGCCATATGTGTTAAAAAGAATATGTTCATTCGATGGAATAGTTTGAGGTGTTGTCATATTGTTCTTCCCAGTTATGCCACCCTGAACTTGCTATGGTTATTGTGTCACGACCTAGATATAACCTATTAACCTCTGTCTAGTATCTTGGTTCTTTGTAGGCTCTTAGACCATTATGAAATGTTGATTTTCTGATGTTATTTTCCTTGTTGACAATTGAGAAATATTTTATTTTTGGGATTTTTACAAATGAAGATGTTTCAACATGAATTGTGACTATTGGCATTTTGTTGCCTGCACTATTACATGATTATTGTAAAATATCATCTTATCCTTTATATGGTTGCATACTTTTCACTGAATAGATGTTCTATTTTCATAGGCTCTCAACTTTGCATTTAAAGGTTACTTCAAAAGCTATTTTGGATGCTCAAAAGAGAGAGATGGTTATGTGAAGTGGTTTGCTGGAAATGTGGCTTCAGGGAGTGTTGCTGGGGCAACTACATCGTTGTTGCTATATCATTTGGATTATGCACGTACCAGGCTTGGCACTGATGCAATACAATGCCCAATTAATGGCCAATGACAATTCAAAGGGCTTTTGGATGTCACCATTGTTTCTGGGGTGTGTGCCTATCCCTTTGAGTCTTTGACACAGTTTGACGACGAATGATGTTGTCTTTTTTTTGGACTTATGAAATGTAATAGTTTTATTAACTTTGTTACTTTGGATATTTGGTCAAGATATTTGGTCAAAATATCCAAATCATAAAATTAAAGAAAATGAATCACAGCATATGTTGGATATTTGGGTTGGGTCACAAATCCTAAGGTCCAATCTCAAAAGAAAAAACAAAGTAGCTAAGGGATTAAGGTTAGAATTGGTTAAAATCGAAATCGATGTCAATCGAACCGATTAATTTGGTGACCGAACTGAATAACCGAAATATTATTCGATCAATTTTTTTGTTGTTATTTTATGAAATAATCAATCGATTAAAATCGTCAATTCAAGTTTGGTTCCAATCGAACCAAACCGATGCCCACCCCTAGCCCCACCCATGCACATGCTACGTCATCTCCTCAGCTCCTTTTCTGAATATACTTTTAAGGTAGTTGATTATAGGAAACTTTTTCCTTTAAATTTTTTTTAAAATTTTGTTTTATAAAATTATTTATATATTTTTATACATTAATATTATAAAAAAAATAAAAATAACATTTTAAATATTTATTTTTTTACACAATTTTAATCTTTAAACTTTATTTCTTGTATATTTTAAATGAAAAATTTTTAACTTTTCCTATATTAAGGTTACTTAAATATTTTGCTTATTAACATTTCTTATATTAATTTTTTATCAAACACAATAAAATTAATAATTTAATAAAATTCTAATAGAATTTCATTACAAAATTTAAAAACCTTTTATACAATACCTTTTAAGTTTCTATATAGTGCTTTCTTAACTAATTTCTCAATAAAAACTTTTTTAATAAGGTAATCTTTTAATTAAATAAGCGTTCAGTATAGTAACAAAATTATTATTGTAGCTTATTATTACATTAAATATATATATATATATATATATATATAAGAGAGCAAAAATTAGTGGATGAAAAGAGAATCAACACAATATCACAATAAAAAATGGTTAACTAAAAAAAAATGGAATAACTCATGTGATGTCCGTAGTATAATCAAGAAGAGTTTTTTTTTCCTTATTTTCAGCAATTGATTGTACTAAAAGATTAAAAATTAATTTTTAATTTATTAATTGTTTAATTAAAATTATATAATTAATTAAAATAATATAAAAAATAAATATCAATTTTAATATTTTTATATAAATTAATTATTAAAAAATATATTAATTACACATTTAGCCTACATTCTAGAATTATAAAAACCCATAAAGTACCACAACATCGTTGGAATGGGTGATTCAACGATATCCATAGATTCACAATAGATTACATAGAAATTATGGAATTTTTAGTGTTAATTTATTCGTCCAAAAAGAGTAATAGTAAGGAAGGTGAAAATTTAGGATTCATAACGTGATTTATATCATGTTATTAAATTAATTGATATA